AAGCATTCTTTACTCTCAGGAAAAGTGGACAAGAGCCATAGACCAGGTCTGTCCAGTGGACGTCATATTTTTTGACTTTAAGAAGGCGTTCGATAGCGTCCCTCATGGACGACTCCTACAGACGATTTGGGAATGTGGAATACAGGGCTACATTTTTAAGTGGATTAAATGTTTCCTGTCATGCAGGCTCCAACAAATGATCGTTAGTACCACTCCATCCGAATGGGTGCCCGTAAAATGCGGCATTACGCAGGGCTCAGTCTTGGGTCCTCTCCTCTTCCTCATCTATATAAATGACTGTCCTGCAGACCTTGAATGCGATGTCATCATGTTTGCAGATGACATAACGATCTGGAGCACAATCAGCTGTGTTGACGACGCACAGAAGATGCAGGAAGATGTTCATAAGCTGGCTGCATGGTTCAGCATGTGGATTCTAGCGTTTAACGTGTCCAAATGTGCAGTCTTGCAACTAGAATCTGGGCGGAGGCGCTTCCCAAAACATCAGTACACCATAAATGGGGTTCCACTAAAAGAGGTGGGCACGCAGAAAGACCTAGGTGTCTGGACATGCTCAAAATTACTGCCCTCTCAGCACTGCAAACGAGTCGTCCAAAAGGCAACCAACATCATGCACTGGATTAGACGTGCCTTCAAAATCTTTCCTCCAGATCTCTTCCGACAGATATTCGGCACGTTTGTCAGACCGCACTTGGAATACGGAATGCCATCATAGATGCCCTGGATTAAAAAAGACAGTGATGCCATAGAGCAGGTGCAACGACGGGCCACAAAACTGGTGGAAGGTCTCGGGACTCTGTCCCACCCAGAAAGACTGATCCAGTTAAATTTGTTCCCCCTATCCTATAGACGAATGAGGTGTGACTTATTATGGACATTCTGCATTATACACGCGCATGAATGTTCGCTCAAAACTGAAGACTTCTTTGCATCCACGACCACGAGTCAACTGCACAGTCAACCGTACACAGTCAAGCGGGAGCGCATACGCCTAGACCATCGGAAGTTTTCCTTCACTCAGCGTGTTGTTCGACCGTGGATCTCAGTACCAAGTGAACTAGTGACATCTGAGACAATGGTTGTATTCAAAAGGCAGCTGGATCGTTTGATCTTTGATAAACGACGACTCTCACCACAGGACTATCTGCGGCCAGCCATTAATTTCAGTTCTTGATTTCATCCCTAAATCATAGACCTGTATCACAGACCGTTCCAGCAGCTAATACCCAGCAGTCCCATTCTACAATCCGGAAAGGGCAAGGACAGACTACCAGATCAGACGACCGCTATGTGTATTTAATACTCCTTCAACTGTGGGGTAGAATATGTTGGTGGCACTAGCCGGCGTTTATCCAAAGGAATGAAAGAACATCTGCCAGCATGGTTAGGAAAGGGTCAAAACAGCTCGATGCTCGCGCGCTCACGTGATATATACAGAGCACCGCGTAGTCGCAGACCAGAGAGTCCTTCAGAGTAATTTACAAGGTCTCATCAAACTATGCAATAACAAATTGGGCAGCGATTCTGGGCTACGGCAGAGGCGGCTGCAATCAGGTTACGCGGGGCGGACCGGTCCTATGCGAAATGGCTGGCGGTGAATCTTAAGGCTCTGCAGTATCAACTAGCGCCACATAGCTATGGAGATACTGTTGAATTCAGTAAAGGCCTGAAAGACTTCGATCTGTACGAAATGGTCATTTTTTTCGTTAGATGCCGTCTCATCCCTTTTTACGAACGTACCGGTCACGGAAATGGTCAGCTACAAAACTTCTTGATTGCACTGCTGCAGACAAACAACAGGATATAGATTGAATGCTGCCAGTGAATGCCCTCAAGCAACTGTTATTGAGGTGCACCCACTCTGAAATTGCACTTGCTATTCGGCCACAACGATCTATATAGACAGATAGAAGGAGTAGCAATGGGCACGCACACCACTTGGTCCGCTTTTGCGAATGTAATCATGGCAACGTTAGAAGCTTCCCAACTACGTCACCAGGTCAACGGTTTAAGATACTATGCGCGGTGGTACGTGCATGATATATTGGCAAATGCATCCTATGCGCCCAGAAGAGTTTCCTACAGGTTGCGCCCACAGTAGGCATGGGTCAAACCCAACAACGCACCCGGCCGCACGCCCGCACGCCCGTTCGCCTGCATGTAATAACCTTCGCCGCCGTGACCCACCTTCTCGCTGACTCTGACTGCAATAGTGGTCTTTCACTCCCCCCTCCCCTCCCCTCCCCTCTCCAATCCCCAGGTACAGCTTAATTATCCACGTGCCCCTACCTCCTTTTCATTCATTACTTCTGCAATAGTAGCCACATTGGCCTGAAGAGAATTAATCCAGTGCAGACGCATGCTCGCCAAATTGCCTTTTGAATCTTACCATGGCAAATTTGCAACTCTAAAATAGTCCAAATATGCTGTGGTGTTGTTGAAGGCACTTAATGTGGGGTACCTACGGTTCAGCAGCTGCACCACCAAGCTTGCGGAGGCGAAATTACAAGTCAGGTTTATTAAGGGATGCCTCCTCGAGGGAATGAGTACCCCATCTCCTACTATAGATGAATGCGACGGAGTGTGTCGTACGGTAGTGGATAAATCCTGGCAAGCCAACTGTTAAGAAGACGCCTAACTCAAGCTGTATTAGCACGAGGGCTACCCTTGGAACCTCGTCTTCGTGTACGACTACGTGATGACTGAATTAATTCGATGGGCTATTGAGCTCTTCATTGCCGGTATGGAGTTGAGTATGGTTTTCTCTTCCATAGCCCTCACCTGTACATCCGCTTTGTGATCTGATTCTTAGCTACATGTTTCGCTTTCAAGCAATTTGCGCTGTTGTACAATCCTTCTCCTTACTGTCTTGTCAGAGGCCACAAATGTTGGACATTTATCGGGATAATGATGTTATCCACAGTCCGTGCACTATAACGAGAAAGGACCGCGCTACGCGTTATTTGCGTGTTGTTTGAAACAAGCGCATTCCTATCAAGATAGTTTTACAATCTGTGTGTCCAAATGGGCCAGTTTCGACACAGAGCGTACAACATCTATAGTCGACGTTAGTCAGTCATTTTCTCTTATCAATCAATACCTGAATAGTCGTCATAAATATCGGGTCTAGCTGTGCCGCCGCAGGAGCACACATTGGGAGGTTAAAATAACTGCGGCGGCAGAAGAATGACGTTCTGATAAAAAGGCCAGATAAGGCAACTGGCGTTGTATTGATGGACAGGGTAGACGATTATATTACGAATATCCTGTCTATTCAATCGGCAGAGGAAAAGACAGAGAAAAGATAGTGTAGGAGAAGGAACGTCCTATTATCTTAACCTGCATTCTCTGCAAGGTAATGGAACGACTAATTAATGGGCATTGACTGTCATATCTTGTGCCGAGGGACCTGTTGTGAGCTGCTCAGCACGGATTTCGTCGTGGTCACTCCTGTCTGACAAGCATTCTTTACTCTCAGGAAAAGTGGACAAGAGCCACAGACCAGGTCTGTCCAGTGGACGTCATCTTTGTTGACTTTAAGAAGGCGTTTGCTAGCGTTCCACATGGTCGACTCCTGCAGAAGATTTGGAAATGTGGAATAGAGGGCAACATTTTAAAGTGGATTAAAAGTTTCCTGTCATGCAGGCTCCCAAATTGATCCTTGGTACCACTGCATCCGAATGGGTGCCCATAAAATGCGGCGGCAAACAGGGCTCAGTCTTGGGTCCTCTCCTCTTCCTCATCTATATAATTGACTGTCCTGCAGACCTTGAATGCGACGGCATCATGTTTGCAGATGATTTAACGATCTGGAACACAATCAACTGTGTTGACGACGCGCAGAAGCTACAGGAATATGTTCATAAGCTGGCTGCGTGGACCAGCAAGTGGCTTCTAGCGTTTAACGTGTCCAAATGTGCAGTCTTGCGACGAGAATCTGGGCGGAGGCGCTTCCCGTAACATCAGTACACCATAAATGCGGTACCACTGGTGTGACCTGTTATGGACATTCCGCATTATACGCGGGAATCAATGTTCGCTCAAAACTGAAGACTTCTTTGATTCCACCATGACGAGTCACCTGCGCAGTCACCCGTACACAGTCAAGCGCGAGCGTATACGCCTAGACCATCGGAAGTTTTCCTTCAGTCAGCGTGTTGTTCGACCGTGGAACTCAGTACCAAGTGAACTAGTGACATCGGATACAATGGCAGTATTCAAAAGGCAGCTGGTTCGTTTGATCATTGATAAACGACTACTCTCACTGCAGGACTATCTGCAGCCAGCCATTAATTTCAATTCTTGATTTCATCCCTAAATCATTGAACTGTATCGCAGACCGTTCCAGCAGCTGACACCCAGCAGTCCCATCTTACAATCCGAAAATTGCTAGGACAAACGGCCAGCTCAGACCACCTCTATGTGTATTTAATAATCCTTCACCTGTGGTGTAGAATATGTTGGTGGCACGGGGCGGCCTTTATCCAAAAGAATGAAAGAACATCTGCCAGCATGGTTATGAAATGGTCAAAACAGCTCGATGCTCGCGCGCTCACGTGGTAGACGTAGACCGCCGAGTAGACGCAGACCAGAGAGTTAGTATCAGTATCAGTATATTTCAGGGAAAGAAGGTGGAAATCCCTATTGGATACATGCAGAGAATATGTATGGAGGAAATGGAAAGGAAATAACATGAAAGAAATGTGATGGGAAAAGCAAAAACTGTACAGATGTACACGGAATATCATTCGTTAACAGAGTTTAGAGGCACATTAACTTGCTTTGTTGATAAAATAGAGCGGACTGTTGAAGCACACTTAAGATACGTGAAAAATATTTAAACATTTTTAGTCTGCAGGCTTCGTGGTGAATGCGAGCAGCGGTGTGCGACGTGGCTCAAATTAGTTAATTCAATAAACATGTGTTACTTAAATGCTGGTAGTAGCATCACCATAACATTAAATTGTCAATGTTGGCTATCAAGGTGGCTGTAGACCGCCGTTATTGTGCTTCGCGCTCCAATGGTGATCTTGCCTCCGTTTAAAAGTATCGACGTATGCCGACATTAGAACATCCTCAGGCAAGGCATTCCAAGCTGCAGCCACTCTGTTGGAGTAGAAGAACTTTCGTGTGTCTAGCTGGGCACCAGTCACACGCAGTTTGATTGGATGGCCTCTCAGGTTTGTCGTAGTCGGCAACTCGAAGAAGTCTCCTGATGCGAGGCAGCAGCCCTGATTGCGCATGATGCGGAATGCTTGTATCAGGTCCCCACGTAGCTGTCTGTAACTCAAAGGAAAGAGGGCAGGATTAGCTAATCGTGTTTCGTAGGGTAGTGACCACTGCCCAGATACAAGTTTCGTTGCTCGCCGTTGAACTTTTTCAAGTATGCCAAAGACTTTAGCGGTCCAGGGTCTCCATGCTTGGATAGCAAACTCCAGATGCGGTCGCACGAAGGTTTGAAAGACCTTGGCGAAGCAGTCTTCATCAAAGTAGGAGAACGCCCATTTGACGAGGTATAGAATGGACATCGCCGACTTGGCCACCTTTGAACATTGCAGCGAAGGCTTCAGCGAGGTTTTGATCCATGCACCCAAGTCCTTCTGGGCGTCGACTCCTTGTGTCAGTGCTTTGTCAGTCAGACGGAAGACCGTGTGGTTAGGAAAACTGGTTCTGCCGACCCGTAGGAAATTGCACTTGTTTACGTTGAACGGTAAAAGCCAGTCTTTCGACCATTGCTCGAGGTGGTCCAGGTTTGTCTGCAGTCGCGCCTCGTCAACTTCGCTTTGTATGGTACTCCAAATATTTATGTCATCGGCAAACAATGCGACATCGCAATTCAGTTCGTTTGCGCAGTCATTGACGTATACGAGGAACCATGTAGGGCCCAGAACAGAGCCTTGGGGAACACCACTCCTAAAGGCAATCTCGGCAGATTGCTGGTCACTGACATGGACGGCTTGAGAGCGGCCGATTAAAAAGCTCCGGATCCACATCAGAAGCTTACCTCGCACTCCTGAACGGCTCAGTTTGCATAGAAGGCGGTGTTGAGGCACACTATCGAAGGCCAGTTTAAAGTCGATATAGATGACATGCACCATATCTCCTCTATCAACAGCCCTAGTCCAGTGTTCCAGACAGTAGAGCAGGTTTGTCACACAGGATCTGTTTTTGTGGAATCCATGCTGGAAATCGGAAAGCAAATGGTTTAGCTCAAGGAACTGCATTAATTGTTGCTTAATTATCTTCTCCATAATCTTACAGCAAATGGAGGTATGGATGACAGATCTGTACTTGTTCGCAGAGACCCGACTTCCGCCCATGTAAAGCGGCGTAATCCACGCTGACTTCCAGTTGGCTGGCAGATATCCGGTCTCGAAGGATGTATGGAAAAGCACAGAGAGTGGCTTAGACAAAGCATCGGCGAGTTGCTTCAAAATATTCGCCGGAATCTCATCGGGACCTGGTGATTTGGATTCCTGTAGCCTCAGCAACTCCGTCAGAACCATAACTCAGTAAACTTGATTTTACAAGGTGCCATCAAACTATGCAAAAACTACTTGGCCAGCGCTTCTTGGCTATGGCAGAGGCGGCTGCAATCAGGCTACGCGGGGCGGACCGGTCCTATGCGTCCAGAAGAATTTGCTACAGGTTGCACCCGCAGTTGGCATGGCTCAAAGCCACTAAGCCAGCCACCCGCCCACCCGCCCGCCCGCATCATGTAATTACCTTCGCCGCCGACTCACGCTGACTGCAATTGTGGTCTTTCACTCTCCCCAACCCCTCCCCTCCCTTCTCTAAACCACAGGGTACAGATTAATTATCCACGTGCCCGTACCTCCTTTTCATTCATTACTTCTTCAATAATAGCCACATAGGCCTGAAGAGAATTATTTATCGAAAGCAGACGTCTACTCGCCAAATTGCCTTTTGAATTGTACAATGGCAAATCTCGCAACGCTAAAACAGTCCAAAGATGCCGCGGTGTTGTTGAAGGCACTCAGTGGGGGTACCTACGGTTAAGCAGCACCAAGCCTGTGGAGGCGAATGTACGAGCTAGGTATATTAAGAGATGGCTCCTCGAGGGAATGCGTACCCCATCTCCTACTGTAGATGAATGCGACGGAGTGAGTCGTATAGTTATCATCTCCTGTGATACCTTGAGAAGATACGCCGAAAATGGACTAGAGAGCACGCGCGTTTTAAAGCCGGTGGAAGAGCTGGGGCGTCAGCTGTGTCAACGGGCAGCTGCATACTCGATGAATTTGGCGAAGACGAGCGACATGAATTCGATAATTATGTATGTGCAATCCATTTCGGACAAACGTGGAGAGGCCTTCAAGAGGGCTTCCCTTCTTCCCCCCTCCAAACCCCAGTTATAGCTTTATTGTCTACGTGCCGTATATACTTTTCATTCATTACTTTTTCAGTAGTGGCCATATAGTCCATAAGACATTTATTATTCGAAAGCAGACATATGCGCGTCAAATGGCCTTTAGTAATTAAATGACGTTTACATCTAAATATCCTTTCATCACTAGCTCGAATTCATATGTGGCCTGTTGTCGTCTGCCTACAATTTGACTGTATTTTCCGAATCTGTTTTTCTGTGTTTTGTTTCATCCTGGAATCTTTTGAGTTAATTTTGTTGTGTTTCATCATGGAAAACGGGATTTTGCTTACTATTCATAGGTTTTTTTCATAGGGCCAGTCGATTTCTATTAATTTTGGATACTTCTCACTGCCGTGATCGTAAACTTAGCCTTCGATTTTTATAGAGAGATGTTTTCTTCCGTTTAACTACTTTACACTTTTCGTTCGTTTTAGACTACTTTGAGTTTTTGATCGGCCTCAAATGGGTGCTGAATACTTCATGATTTCTAGTGCTTTCAAACACCAAACACCAAACGGATGTATTTTAGCCAATTTCGAATGAGAGAGAGCGTACAACATAATGACAGATTCTGAATAACCCGCCTGCTGAGAACTTTAAAATAAAATTAATCGAATTAGTGAGTGTTCGCGTCCTTCTTATCACGAAGATGGTCGTTTGGGTCACATGTGTAAAATCAATCAAACATCAACCTTCATTTTTGAGAAAAATGGCTGCCTTCAACGAAAGACAGCAACGAATATGCCTGCGATCAACGAGAAGACTTTCCTTAATAAGTGGCCTGTTTTGAAGGAGCCGTATTACTGCTTTCCGTTGACGGATTTCTGTGTACTCTGCATTTTTTTGCACGGTGAGGCCAAGTAAAGATTCGACACTTTTGGCAGTTTCTTTCACGTTCCTTAACAATACTAATCTTTTTACCGTAAACGAAAGAACATGCATTCCTTTACACATTGAGACCATTTTCACTGTGCTTGCTCGCTTTTAGACTGCGTTCTTCGATTATGAATGCATGGCAGAACGCTCATATTAATACTGATATTTTGCTGAAATTATTTATGTTTTGCTCGTTCTAGTTCTGAATAAGGTATGCACAGAAATCAAACTACGCGAGAAGTAGTGTTCCAGATGTTCAAAACTGCAAATGACCATTTGGTGGTGGTCGTTTACGTGACATCAGGTAGAATTTTTCAAACGACAAAGACTTTCAGCCCATTTAAACGTAGGGATCCCTATCTGCGTTATTAGTGCACTTTGGGGCACCAAATCGCACAGATCTGCTAATTTGACATTTAGGATTTGGTGAAACATCTGGTGTTCTTTAAATAACCTTTGTGTTAGCAGGTTGATTACCACGGTTAACATCAGGCATAACATAAATTTTCAAGTTCAGCTAGATCTGTTTATTAAAACTCTCGCGAGTAAATCACTATCTTTTCAATATAAAAAGTCGCTCAGATGCGTAACCGGAATTTCGGACATATATGAGTCAGGAAATTGCATAAATATATTCCATCGTGCATTTTGGCTAAAAGGTACTGATATTTTACTTGATATAATTGCGTTAACACAAGTTCTGCACAAGATAAGGACATTTCATTGAGGGATGTTTATGAGCGAACAAAATGCGCAACGTGAAACACGTCCAGAAATTCTTGCATCAGTTTCCTTTATCAGATTTCATGAGATAGGCCACATAGAAGAAGACACGATCGCCGGGACAAGAGCCTTATTGGACTGACGTTTCGGATTCCTGCTCGAATCCGTCATGGGAGACAAAAGCAGAGAAGGATGGTTCATGCATATGCGGCTGCAGTATTTAGAGGATGCAGTAGCCATGCTATCGCATACCTATGAATATTCACTGCTCCCAACCCCCCCACCTCCCCCTTCATCAGGGATCGTTGCACGTGGCGTGATGGCCGACATTCGCGTCGTTAATTGCGGCAAGTTCATCACGTGCGTTGGATGTTGGTGTGATGATTGCTCAACCATCTGACGCGCTGATCCAGGTATTGGGAGAAGTGTTCACCTGTGCGCTTCCAGCGTGGCCAAATACTCCGCCTAGACGAAGTCTCAGCACGGTGCATTGAATGGGAAGATCATTGCACCTGTTAATAAACTGTAGACCAGTCAACCATGACTCAAGCAGTTTCCGGTTCACGCGGTTGTCACCTCTTGCGAGAATTGCGGCCTCATCATATTTGAATGTGTGACCGGAACCCGTCGAATGAGCCGCAACCTGATAGCTGGCGTCACTTTTCATCCAACGGTTCACTTAACTTTCTGGATGTGTTTCTTTGTAGAAGACCTAGCTGATGGCAGCATTCGACGTAGCGTCTATCGTAAGAGAACCTGGTCCGGACAATACGCTCATTTTGGAAGATTCTTACCGCTAAACCTTTGAAATCTTTTAGTTCGCTGTATGACTGAAAGAGTGAGAAGATTCTGCTCAGCTGATAGTGTTGTTGAGAAAGAGCTTAAGATCATGGGAGGCCTTTTTTGCTAGAACGGGTATCCTGATCTTCGATTAATTGCTGCTAAGAAGATGACCGAAAGACCACAAAAGCCCCGATACTGACAGCAGGAAAGAAAAGTCTCTTCGTAAGGGTCCATGTCAAGTGGATGCACCAAGCAAGCGAACTTTTAAAACGACGCCGCCTAACTCAAGCTGTATTAATACAGACCTTTCCAGCAGCTGACACCCACCAGTCCCATCCTACTATCCGGAGAGGGCAATGGCATGCTGTTTTCTCGTCTCATCCGTTTTTACGAACGTATCGGTCATGGAATTTGTCATCTGCACACCTTTGTGATTTCATTTTTGCCGATAACCAACGGGATATAGGTTGAATGCCGCCAGTGAATGCCCTCAAGCAACTGTTATTTAGGTACACCTTGAACGTGCACTTCCTATTCGACAACATCTGTCTATGTATACAGATAGACGGAGTAGCTATGGGCTCGTTGGCCACTTGGCCAGCTTTTGGCGAATATACGCATGGCAATGCTAAATATGTTGCTTGTACAATATATACGCTACGTTCAGAGATCAAGGCAGCGAAATAGCCAATAGAAATCCAATGACGGACGGCGTTGCCGAACCCCAGAATAGTAGGGTGGGAACGTTGACCCAACAGCCTGACATGTCTGCATTTACATTAAATACACTTGATGGTCTTGACTTTTTTCAGGTTTATCTTTAGTCCATCCGAGGAATAAAACAAAAAGATTTTACTCGACACTGTTATATCAAGTTATCATATCGACTTTGTCCATAAGGTCGTCATTAATATCTCAACCACCTGGTAAGATATTATATATAGAGCTTACACCCTGCGTACACACGTTACTTGAGACACTAGGCTTACCATAGCGCCGTCAAAGACAAAAAATATTACTTGATTTTTTGTCTGTTTGTCAAATATATTTCACCCGGATTAGTTTATTCTCCCCGAGTATTCCTTAACACCGGTCTTCATTTTCATTTAAACACTAAATAGCGCACTGCAGGGCTAGTGAATGCATTGGAACTCAGCAATATTCTATTAGTTAAATGCTACTCAGCTGAATGGAGATTAGGTCAGTGTACATTCGGATAAATGTTCTGAGGCGCGTTGTTGACTATCTAAAAGTCCATTGTTAATCCATCGAACAAAGTTTTTTTACTCATGCGTACCTCTATTTTGCCTTATTTCAAATACTGTTAGGAAATATGTTTGTAGACTTTGTATTGGAAATGCGAAAGCAGGGGATTCGAAATTACAGATTAGGAATCGAAAGTCTCTCCAGTTGCAATCAGATTTTCGTTGGCTTCACATAGTACTGCCTCATCACAACGAGGCGCGGGGTTACGGTCAAGATCACCGCAAAAACCAAAATTTGCAAAACAAAAATCATATGTTTTTGACTATTGTGCATGTTTTAAGCACTTTGGAACCCTCCCAAATCTTCATTAACCTTTCTTTCACAGGAAGGCGGTATAAATCTTTTGTCTTCAAGCTGATATAGGATATAATTCGTTGAAATTATGTAAATAAACAATAAATTTAAAACCGAGCACAATGCAGCGCGTCGATATCGAATGAGCGAAATGCTGCTGATGCAAAACGGGAT